CTAGGTAAGCCTTTCAAAATTATAATTTTCCTTCGCTGCAAGTAAGTAGTGTTCTTCCCTGGTTTGGCCTCAATCCAGCTTTTCAGTGCACAGCTGTTTTATAGAAAGCTAAAATTCCTCCTTGCGAATTACCTTTCGAAAAATTACTATCCGAAAAAAAGGTCACTAGAGAGTACCGACCTGCCAGACAAGTAACCCTCTGGACCGCTCTGATTCGTTTACTTTTTCTTATGACCTAATCCACACTTAACTGTTTGTACGTTTGTTATTTTTTTTCCAAGTTATGCGCATATCTTTTGGCTAGCTTGACATCTTTGAAGGCCACAAGTTTTCAGTTTTTAACTGGCTGTCGTCACGCTCTGTAACTAAAGTTGATTATGATCAGAGATCGTGATATTAATTATGGTTATGATTATGATTCGGTCCTAGAAACCCTTGCCTTAGCTTACACTGAAAACCTTGCAACTTCGCCCAGTTTCTGTCGCTAGGGTCAGGGAAATAGGATCAGCCTGATGAGCTCAGTTAGGCGATTTAGGAACTGGATGAGCGATAAGCCTGAATATCCTCACAGCAGAGTGCCTTAAAGCTTCCTATTCTTTCTCTTCTTTATTTCAGACATTTTCCTACTTTATTCGTTAACGCTTATTTGCAAACGCGACAAACCCAATGTTTTGTTCTGCCAGCGTCAGTCAGACAGGCGTTTAAATTCGGCAATTCAAAATTTCACGGAAACATTTTTATTTACATTGTAAAGAAAATCCGACTTGCAAATTTTTAAGGCAACTGAGATGTTTTGGTCCAGTTAGTCTCACCAACTTCAGGCAAAATAACAATTTTCTTTTGTTTCAATTTCAGCTACAACAGCTTCTTCAATCAAGTTGTCCCAGGTTATGAGTTTTTGCAAGATTTATGGAGGAGCACAGCTCTCTTCTGCGAGGAACAGGCTCGGCAGAAGAAACTAATGAAGACATATTCGGGCCCAGTCATAATTGCTTGGCTGCCACTGAACCAGTACAAACCAGAAGAAATTTCACTCTATGTTGACGACCAAAATATAACGTTACACGGCCAGCATCGATCCGAAGGAGAAGATGGATTTGAGAATAGTGAGTTCATGAAAACCATTAAGCTCCCGGAAGACGTAGATCCCACAACAGTGACATCACATGTAACCAGAAATGGTAGTGTTCTAGTCCTCAATGGCATCAAACGCATTGAAAAGAAAATAAAAGCAAACGATGACAAGTTTGTTGCTAAATTAAATCTGCGTGGATTTAAACCAGAAGAAATCAAGATCCAGACTCGAGGAAATGAGCTCATGGTCATAGCAAAACACAGATCGGAGGAAGATGGTTCACGTGATTACAGACGTCGCATTTTGCTGCCCGATGACGCAGACGTCAGTTCATTGACGTCACGCCTCTGCAGTAACGGCGTGCTAATTATAGAAGTGTCACGTGACCAAGCGTTCTTACAAGACGAGGCAAAACAAGAAGCAAGTGGTAACACAGAATTCAATCAACGCCTCGATTGAATGAACCACGTTCACTTGGCAGATTTTACGGAATTACTCCCTACATTATTTTTTGAAATATTTATTACATTTCTTATCAAAGTTTTAATTTTAAAGTGTAACCTCGGCACACTCTGTTAAACCTAGTGATGCATCATGATAATTTTATTGTGATATCTTCAGCTTAGATTTTTGCTTAATTTTCAGTTTTTAATTCAGTGGTTTTTAATCATTAGACAAACATGTTCCAATGCGTCAAGTACCGATTAAAAGAAATATTTTACACTTTAGTTAAAATGTATATCAGATCAGTTATCAGTTTTTATCCAAAGTTCTTTGTCTATATATAGTATAGTTCTTGATATTTTAAGTTTTTGGGATTGTAAACCTTTGGAATATAAGTTAATGAAAGTTAGTATAGGTCTGTATATAGTACAAGAACAATAAAATGTTTAAATGAGCAACTAACTGGGTTGTGTTTCCTTTTAATTATCGTTCATTTGAACCACTTTTTACCTCTAGATACTGGCATTTGTACTGTTGGCATTTTTCTATCTAAAGCAGAAGCTTCTTTGGTCTCTTTGACTTGAAATTTTCTGATGCCTTTCCAGAGCAGATACCCTATTAATACTGGCTCATGACAACGGCCCATATCCCCAGGGGGTGGGGGAGGGTATTCCCTATAACGACAACAAGGGAAGGTACATCCCGAAAGGAGTACTTTCTCAGGCTTCAGGTATACGAAAGAAAGGGTTGGGATTTCACTTGTTGAAGAATATAAAAGGGTAGGGAAATCTGTCATTTCGGTTGGTAGCAACACCCAAAAGAGCTAACAGGTGCATTTTATGGCAGTGACAAAGTCAAAGAAAGCGTTCTACTTTTGTGATTTATTCATATTTTAAAGACAATGCGTTTACAGTAGTTAAAGAAATAAACAGTAACTACAATTTTAAGTAGGTGAAAGCAGTACCATTTGTCAATAGAAGTTATATGAAAGGAGAGGGTTCCTTTTCTGTCCAAAGTGGTATATAAAATGGTAAGGGATTGGACCTACGGGTGGAGCCTCTCCGTATAAACCTTTTTGAGTATTCCTCCCCCCTCTCTCCATATACATCGCAGGCTTGAAATGCACGACATTCATTATCCTAATGGTTAATAGCATTTACAATAATCGCGTGATCAAATTATTTTGATTACTGTCTATAGTGTCAACAAAACAACAGCCTTAAAAGATTTCGTCCCCGGTATCTCTGTTTATCCTCGAGTTTACTTTTTATTACCCGTGTTTCCCTTGTTTGTTTTACCTTTGAAAAGGTATAATATGTTTTAGTAAAATCCAACTAGTGGTCTATTATGAATGCTGCGTTCTGATTGGTTGAGCTGCTACTAGGCTGTATGTTAAAGCCCACTAGTATAGAGCAAAGCGCAAGCTTTTTGGCGGCAAAAAAGGATTAAAGTCTAGCTTTAACTAGCGAAAGTTGTTTTGTCTCGATATTTTTTACCAGCTAGTTGGATTTTCGATCAATAACGATTTCTTAAAACATAAGCAAGCGAATATTAACGTTAAAAGCCGACGTTTCGGTATCATCATGACGGGTAGTTGGATTTTACTAAAACAATTATTCCTCTCGCCATCATGGCCTCTGAGTCAATAGCCCATTTGGCCTTTGGCCTTATAGGCTATTGACTCAGAGCCCATTCGGGCTCGAGGAATAATAATTGTTAAATACTGGGACTCTGTTGAAAGTTTGTTTATTGTTAGTTATAAACTGGACATTTACACCTCTATTTGTGACATTTTTGGTTTATCTTCATACGTCCCGCCGTTTTTGGTTAACAGACTTTGTATTCAATTTAACTGCCCATTCTTACCCTTTTCATTCCTTTTCTACTTTGGAGACGACTTCTCAAACGAAAAAAAGAAAAGAGAAAAAAGAGAAAAACGTTACAAAGGTTTGGGGAGTTTGGTTAGTATACGAAGTGCTCGACCATCTATGAGGGGGTTTGGAGGTCAATTCCCTGGTGTCCTATATCTTGGCAACGACTTCAAAATTAGCCGTAATGGGAGAGGAATTTGCAATTTTAAGCTACTAGGGGTAATAATGTGAATATAGCAGGCTGAAATATTTCCTTTTTCACTTTAATACAAAACTGAAAACTTAGAATTGCCGAGGCGGCTTACACGAACCCAGACTACAGTAAAAACCCGCGAGTAAGAACCTGAAAATTATAAGAACCAGTTAGCCTAAAATGTGCCATTTATATCCCCTATAAACAAGAACCTGTTTAGCCTAGAAAATGAAAAACAGGTTCTTATTTTTTTAAATCATATTAAAATCCTGTTTAGAGAATTAGGAGATTGGCATTGCTGTACGAATAAAAGTGCTAATTCAGTTATTGATGTAATAAAAAAATAAAGTGCAAGAGGTTAATATTGTTGTATCACATTTTGAAATTGAAAAATAGGCCGATTACCATCTTGTTTTGTTTTTCTAGATTTTTTTTACAGAAATAAGAACCTATTTAAGAACCTAAATAGCCTCAAATTGTGTTCACTACCATTCAAATAAGAACCTGTTTAGGCTAACTCCAGAAAATGTAGGTTCTTACTTGTGGCTTTTTACTGTATTTTTGATAAACGGCTTTAAAATGTTTGTACTGTTACGAAACACCGTGGCCAGCTGTAGGACATGACAAGTCTACCAACCTTGAACTGGAACGCAGTAATGCTGAGAGATGAGACTGATTTTATAGCCTTCAGTATCAAGCATTTTAATATTAGGCTAATATTTAGATGTGCATTATTAATAGGTGGATTATTCAGGCATTTGTATGGTATAAGTAATTTCTGACATTTTTTAATGAAGCTTACGTAGAACAGTACGAACAACTCCTAATAATACAAATTTACACTCAAGTTAATTCAAGTTTTCGTTCAGTTCTATGGATTGATCGAGTCACCAGCATGCATTATACTGAAATCTAAATATAGCAAGTGACTCCGATTATTAGGTAAGGTTGTAGACGGTTTATTAACAGAGTATGCACATTGTGGCTCTTCATCTGTTACTGGTATCTAGAAATATCTAAAGTTCACTATAAAAATATAATACTGAGAAAATTATCAAAGGGATGTAAGTAGCTAAAAAGAGGAGAAGGGACTGGACTGGAAACCACCACGGTGAGCGGGAAAATGAAAAACGGGAACAAAACCTAACTTGAACTTAAGCCCCATCAGTAACTTCGTTAACCACAGTTCTATTTTCTCTTCCATTTCTCCGTTCTCCCCGTGACATCCGTGATTAAAGTAGAAAAATAAAACTGCAATATCTCAGTGCAACAAAACGAAACTAAATAACAAAACTGCCTAATGTACGTTTTTTGCAAAACTAAGAACTTCTCGTTTTTTCTCACTGAAAATTTAAAAAAACAGTAACCTCTTATTCCTGTTAAATTTTGTCACAATGAATCAGCTCAAGCTAGTCACTCTCCAAAAATACTGACAAATGATTTAATTATAGTAACGATTGATAGTTCGAAAATAACTTTTATCACCTATAAGTAAATGGTTTTCGCTCACCGACCAACAGTTCAAACAAAAGTCTCAGAAGAATCAAAGAGATATCCCTGAAGATTTTCAAGAAGTAGAATTAGAACCAAAGTTTTTACGGCATGGCCCTCGCTTTCGGATTTCCGACTTTTCATCCAACTAGGTAAGCCTTTCAAAATTATAATTTTCCTTCGCTGCAAGTAAGTAGTGTTCTTCCCTGGTTTGGCCTCAATCCAGCTTTTCAGTGCACAGCTGTTTTATAGAAAGCTAAAATTCCTCCTTGCGAATTACCTTTCGAAAAATTACTATCCGAAAAAAGGTCACTAGAGAGTACCGACCTGCCAGACAAGTAACCCTCTGGACCGCTCTGATTCGTTTACTTTTTCTTATGACCTAATCCACACTTAACTGTTTGTACGTTTGTTATTTTTTTTTCCAAGTTATGCGCATATCTTTTGGCTAGCTTGACATCTTTGAAGGCCACAAGTTTTCAGTTTTTAACTGGCTGTCGTCACGCTCTGTAACTAAAGTTGATTATGATCAGAGATCGTGATATTAATTATGGTTATGATTATGATTCGGTCCTAGAAACCCTTGCCTTAGCTTACACTGAAAACCTTGCAACTTCGCCCAGTTTCTGTCGCTAGGGTCAGGGAAATAGGATCAGCCTGATGAGCTCAGTTAGGCGATTTAGGAACTGGATGAGCGATAAGCCTGAATATCCTCACAGCAGAGTGCCTTAAAGCTTCCTATTCTTTCTCTTCTTTATTTCAGACATTTTCCTACTTTATTCGTTAACGCTTATTTGCAAACGCGACAAACCCAATGTTTTGTTCTGCCAGCGTCAGTCAGACAGGCGTTTAAATTCGGCAATTCAAAATTTCACGGAAACATTTTTATTTACATTGTAAAGAAAATCCGACTTGCAAATTTTTTAAGGCAACTGAGATGTTTTGGTCCAGTTAGTCTCACCAACTTCAGGCAAAATAACAATTTTCTTTTGTTTCAATTTCAGCTACAACAGCTTCTTCAATCAAGTTGTCCCAGGTTATGAGTTTTTGCAAGATTTATGGAGGAGCACAGCTCTCTTCTGCGAGGAACAGGCTCGGCAGAAGAAACTAATGAAGACATATTCGGGCCCAGTCATAATTGCTTGGCTGCCACTGAACCAGTACAAACCAGAAGAAATTTCACTCTATGTTGACGACCAAAATATAACGTTACACGGCCAGCATCGATCCGAAGGAGAAGATGGATTTGAGAATAGTGAGTTCATGAAAACCATTAAGCTCCCGGAAGACGTAGATCCCACAACAGTGACATCACATGTAACCAGAAATGGTAGTGTTCTAGTCCTCAATGGCATCAAACGCATTGAAAAGAAAATAAAAGCAAACGATGACAAGTTTGTTGCTAAATTAAATCTGCGTGGATTTAAACCAGAAGAAATCAAGATCCAGACTCGAGGAAATGAGCTCATGGTCATAGCAAAACACAGATCGGAGGAAGATGGTTCACGTGATTACAGACGTCGCATTTTGCTGCCCGATGACGCAGACGTCAGTTCATTGACGTCACGCCTCTGCAGTAACGGCGTGCTAATTATAGAAGTGTCACGTGACCAAGCGTTCTTACAAGACGAGGCAAAACAAGAAGCAAGTGGTAACACAGAATTCAATCAACGCCTCGATTGAATGAACCACGTTCACTTGGCAGATTTTACAGAATTACTCCCTACATTTTTTTTGAAATATTTATTACATTTCTTATCAAAGTTTTAATTTTAAAGTGTAACCTCGGCACACTCTGTTAAACCTAGTGATGCATCATGATAATTTTATTGTGATATCTTCAGCTTAGATTTTTGCTTAATTTTCAGTTTTTAATTCAGTGGTTTTTAATCATTAGACAAACATGTTCCAATGCGTCAAGTACCGATTAAAAGAAATATTTTACACTTTAGTTAAAATGTATATCAGATCAGTTATCAGTTTTTATCCAAAGTTCTTTGTCTATATATAGTATAGTTCTTGATATTTTAAGTTTTTGGGATTGTAAACCTTTGGAATATAAGTTAATGAAAGTTAGTATAGGTCTGTATATAGTACAAGAACAATAAAATGTTTAAATGAGCAACTAACTGGGTTGTGTTTCCTTTTAATTATCGTTCATTTGAACCACTTTTTACCTCTAGATACTGGCATTTGTACTGTTGGCATTTTTCTATCTAAAGCAGAAGCTTCTTTGGTCTCTTTGACTTGAAATTTTCTGATGCCTTTCCAGAGCAGATACCCTATTAATACTGGCTCATGACAACGGCCCATATCCCCAGGGGGTGGGGGAGGGTATTCCCTATAACGACAACAAGGGAAGGTACATCCCGAAAGGAGTACTTTCTCAGGCTTCAGGTATACGAAAGAAAGGGTTGGGATTTCACTTGTTGAAGAATATAAAAGGGTAGGGAAATCTGTCATTTCGGTTGGTAGCAACACCCAAAAGAGCTAACAGGTGCATTTTATGGCAGTGACAAAGTCAAAGAAAGCGTTCTACTTTTGTGATTTATTCATATTTTAAAGACAATGCGTTTACAGTAGTTAAAGAAATAAACAGTAACTACAATTTTAAGTAGGTGAAAGCAGTACCATTTGTCAATAGAAGTTATATGAAAGGAGAGGGTTCCTTTTCTGTCCAAAGTGGTATATAAAATGGTAAGGGATTGGACCTACGGGTGGAGCCTCTCCGTATAAACCTTTTTTGAGTATTCCTCTCCCCTCTCTCCATATACATCGCAGGCTTGAAATGCACGACATTCATTATCCTAATGGTTAATAGCATTTACAATAATCGCGTGATCAAATTATTTTGATTACTGTCTATAGTGTCAACAAAACAACAGCCTTAAAAGATTTCGTCCCCGGTATCTCTGTTTATCCTCAAGTTTACTTTTATTACCCGTGTTTCCCTTGTTTGTTTTACCTTTGAAAAGGTATAATATGTTTTAGTAAAATCCAACTAGTGGTCTATTATGAATGCTGCGTTCTGATTGGTTGAGCTGCTACTAGGCTGTATGTTAAAGCCCACTAGTATAGAGCAAAGCGCAAGCTTTTTGGCGGCAAAAAAGGATTAAAGTCTAGCTTTAACTAGCGAAAGTTGTTTTGTCTCGATATTTTTTACCAGCTAGTTGGATTTTCGATCAATAACGATTTCTTAAAACATAAGCAAGCGAATATTAACGTTAAAAGCCGACGTTTCGGTATCATCATGACGGGTAGTTGGATTTTACTAAAACAATTATTCCTCTCGCCATCATGGCCTCTGAGTCAATAGCCCATTTGGCCTTTGGCCTTATAGGCTATTGACTCAGAGCCCATTCGGGCTCGAGGAATAATAATTGTTAAATACTGGGACTCTGTTGAAAGTTTGTTTATTGTTAGTTATAAACTGGACATTTACACCTCTATTTGTGACATTTTTGGTTTATCTTCATACGTCCCGCCGTTTTTGGTTAACAGACTTTGTATTCAATTTAACTGCCCATTCTTACCCTTTTCATTCCTTTTCTACTTTGGAGACGACTTCTCAAACGAAAAAAAAAAAAAAAAAAAAAAGAAAAACGTTACAAAGGTTTGGGGAGTTTGGTTAGTATACGAAGTGCTCGACCATCTATGAGGGGGTTTGGAGGTCAATTCCCTGGTGTCCTATATCTTGGCAACGACTTCAAAATTAGCCGTAATGGGAGAGGAATTTGCAATTTTAAGCTACTAGGGGTAATAATGTGAATATAGCAGGCTGAAATATTTCCTTTTTCACTTTAATACAAAACTGAAAACTTAGAATTGCCGAGGCGGCTTACACGAACCCAGACTACAGTAAAAACCCGCGAGTAAGAACCTGAAAATTATAAGAACCAGTTAGCCTAAAATGTGCCATTTATATCCCCTATAAACAAGAACCTGTTTAGCCTAGAAAATGAAAAACAGGTTCTTATTTTTTTAAATCATATTAAAATCCTGTTTAGAGAATTAGGAGATTGGCATTGCTGTACGAATAAAAGTGCTAATTCAGTTATTGATGTAATAAAAAAATAAAGTGCAAGAGGTTAATATTGTTGTATCACATTTTGAAATTGAAAAATAGGCCGATTACCATCTTGTTTTGTTTTTCTAGATTTTTTTTACAGAAATAAGAACCTATTTAAGAACCTAAATAGCCTCAAATTGTGTTCACTACCATTCAAATAAGAACCTGTTTAGGCTAACTCCAGAAAATGTAGGTTCTTACTTGTGGCTTTTTACTGTATTTTTGATAAACGGCTTTAAATGTTTGTACTGTTACGAAACACCGTGGCCAGCTGTAGGACATGACAAGTCTACCAACCTTGAACTGGAACGCAGTAATGCTGAGAGATGAGACTGATTTTATAGCCTTCAGTATCAAGCATTTTAATATTAGGCTAATATTTAGATGTGCATTATTAATAGGTGGATTATTCAGGCATTTGTATGGTATAAGTAATTTCTGACATTTTTAATGAAGCTTACGTAGAACAGTACGAACAACTCCTAATAATACAAATTTACACTCAAGTTAATTCAAGTTTTCGTTCAGTTCTATGGATTGATCGAGTCACCAGCATGCATTATACTGAAATCTAAATATAGCAAGTGACTCCGATTATTAGGTAAGGTTGTAGACGGTTTATTAACAGAGTATGCACATTGTGGCTCTTCATCTGTTACTGGTATCTAGAAATATCTAAAGTTCACTATAAAAATATAATACTGAGAAAATTATCAAAGGGATGTAAGTAGCTAAAAAGAGGAGAAGGGACTGGACTGGAAACCACCACGGTGAGCGGGAAAATGAAAAACGGGAACAAAACCTAACTTGAACTTAAGCCCCATCAGTAACTTCGTTAACCACAGTTCTATTTTCTCTTCCATTTCTCCGTTCTCCCCGTGACATCCGTGATTAAAGTAGAAAAATAAAACTGCAATATCTCAGTGCAACAAAACGAAACTAAATAACAAAACTGCCTAATGTACGTTTTTTGCAAAACTAAGAACTTCTCGTTTTTTCTCACTGAAAATTTAAAAAAACAGTAACCTCTTATTCCTGTTAAATTTTGTCACAATGAATCAGCTCAAGCTAGTCACTCTCCAAAAATACTGACAAATGATTTAATTATAGTAACGATTGATAGTTCGAAAATAACTTTTATCACCTATAAGTAAATGGTTTTCGCTCACCGACCAACAGTTCAAACAAAAGTCTCAGAAGAATCAAAGAGATATCCCTGAAGATTTTCAAGAAGTAGAATTAGAACCAAAGTTTTTACGGCATGGCCCTCGCTTTCGGATTTCCGACTTTTCATCCAACTAGGTAAGCCTTTCAAAATTATAATTTTCCTTCGCTGCAAGTAAGTAGTGTTCTTCCCTGGTTTGGCCTCAATCCAGCTTTTCAGTGCACAGCTGTTTTATAGAAAGCTAAAATTCCTCCTTGCGAATTACCTTTCGAAAAATTACTATCCGAAAAAAAGGTCACTAGAGAGTACCGACCTGCCAGACAAGTAACCCTCTGGACCGCTCTGATTCGTTTACTTTTTCTTATGACCTAATCCACACTTAACTGTTTGTACGTTTGTTATTTTTTTTCCAAGTTATGCGCATATCTTTTGGCTAGCTTGACATCTTTGAAGGCCACAAGTTTTCAGTTTTTAACTGGCTGTCGTCACGCTCTGTAACTAAAGTTGATTATGATCAGAGATCATGATATTAATTATGGTTATGATTATGATTCGGTCCTAGAAACCCTTGCCTTAGCTTACACTGAAAACCTTGCAACTTCGCCCAGTTTCTGTCGCTAGGGTCAGGGAAATAGGATCAGCCTGATGAGCTCAGTTAGGCGATTTAGGAACTGGATGAGCGATAAGCCTGAATATCCTCACAGCAGAGTGCCTTAAAGCTTCCTATTCTTTCTCTTCTTTATTTCAGACATTTTCCTACTTAATTCGTTAACGCTTATTTGCAAACGCGACAAACCCAATGTTTTGTTCTGCCAGCGTCAGTCAGTCAGGCGTTTAAATTCGGCAATTCAAAATTTCACGGAAACATTTTTATTTACATTGTAAAGAAAATCCGACTTGCAAATTTTTAAGGCAACTGAGATGTTTTGGTCCAGTTAGTCTCACCAACTTCAGGCAAAATAACAATTTTCTTTTGTTTCAATTTCAGCTACAACAGCTTCTTAAATCAAGTTGTCCCAGGTTATGGGTTTTTGCAAGATTTATGGAGGAGCACAGCTCTCTTCTGCGAGGAACAGGCTCGGCAGAGGAAACTAATGAAGACATATTCGGGCCCAGTCATAATTGCTTGGCTGCCACTGAACCAGTACAAACCAGAAGAAATTTCACTCTGTGTTGACGACGAAAATATAACGTTACACGGCCATCATCGATCCGAAGGAGAAGATGGATTTGAGAATAGTGAGTTCATGAAAATCATTAAGCTCCCGGAAGACGTAGATCCCACAACAGTGACATCACATGTAACCAGAAATGGTAGCGTTCTAGTCCTCAATGGCATCAAACGCCTTGAAAAGAAAATAAAAGCAAACGATGACAAGTTTGTTGCTAAATTAAATCTGCGTGGATTTAAACCAGAAGAAATCAAGATCCAGACTCGAGGAAATGAGCTCATGGTCATAGCAAAACACAGATCGGAGGAAGATGGTTCACGTGATTACAGACGTCGCATTTTGCTGCCCGATGACGCAGACGTCAGTTCATTGACGTCACGCCTCTGCAGTAACGGCGTGCTAATTATAGAAGTGTCACGTGACCAAGCGTTCTTACAAGACGAGGCAAAACAAGAAGCAAGTGGTAACACAGAATTCAATCAACGCCTCGATTGAATGAACCACGTTCACTTGGCAGATTTTACGGAAGTACTCCCTACATTATTTTTTGAAATATTTATTACATTTCTTATTAAAGTTATCATTTTAAAGTGCAACCTCAGCATAGTCTGTTAAACCTAGTGATGCATCATGATAATTTTATTGTGATATCTTCAGCTTAGATTTTTGCTTAATTTTCAGTTTTTAATTCAGTGGTTTTTAATCATTAGACAACATGTTCCAATTCCAATGCCATGTTCCAACATGTTCCAATGCGTCAAGTACCGATTAAAAGAAATATTTTACACTTTAGTTAAAATGTATATCAGATCAGTTATCAGTTTTTATCCAACGTTCTTTGTCTATATATAGTATAGTTCTTGATATTTTAAGTTTTTGGGATTGTAAACCTTTGGAATATAAGTTAATGAAAGTTAGTATAGGTCTGTATATAGTACAAGAACAATAAAATGTTTAAATGAGCAACTAACTGGGTTGTGTTTCCTTTTAATTATCGTTCATTTGAACCACTTTTTACCTCTAGATACTGGCATTTGTACTGTTGGCATTTTTCTATCTAAAGTAGAAGCTTCTTTGGTCTCTTTGACTTGAAATTTTCTGATGCCTTTCCAGAGCAGATACCCTATTAATACAGCCTCAAGACAACGGCCCATATCCCCAGGGGGTGGGGGAGGGTATTCCCTATAACGACAACAAGGGAAGGTACATCCCGAAAGGAGTACTTTCTCAGGCTTCAGGTATACGAAAGAAAGGGTTGGGATTTCACTTGTTGAAGAATATAAAAGGGTAGGGAAATCTGTCATTTCGGTTGGTAGCAAGACCCAAAAGAGCTAACAGATGCATTTTATGGCAGTGACAAAGTCGACGAAAGCGTTCTACTTTTGTGATTTATTCATATTTTAAAGACAATGCGTTTACAGCAGTTAAAGAAATAAACAGTAACTACAATTTTAAGTAGGTGAAAGCAGTACCATTTGTCAATAGAAGTTATATGAAAGGAGAGGGGTCCTTTTCTGTCCAAAGTGGTATATAAAATGGTAAGGGATTGGACCTACGGGTGGAGCCTCTCCGTATAAACCTTTTTTGAGTATTCCTCTCCCCTCTCTCCATATACATCGCAGGCTTGAATTGCACGACATTCATTATCCTAATGGTTAACAGCATCTACGATAATCGCGTGATCAAATTATTTTGATTACTGTCTATAGTGTCAACAAAACAACAGCCTTAAAAGATTTCGTCCCCGGTATCTCTGTTTATCCTCGAGTTTAATTTTATTACCTGTGTTTCCCTTGTTTCTTTTACCTTTGAAAAGGTATAATATGTTTTAGTAAAATCCAACTAGTGGTCTATTATCAATGCTGCGTTCTGATTGGTTGAGCTGCTACTAGGCTGTATGTTAAAGCCCACTAGTATAGGGCAAAGCGCAAGCTTTTTGGCGGCAAAAAAGGATTAAAGTCTAGCTTTAACTAGCTAAAGTTGTTTTGTCTCGATATTTTTTACCAGCTAGTTGGATTTTCGATCAATAACGATTTCTTAAAACATAAGCAAGCGAATATTAACGTTAAAAGCCGACGTTTCGGTATCATCATGACGGGTAGTTGGATTTTACTAAAACAATTATTCCTCTCGCCATCATGGCCTCTGAGTCAATAGCCCATTTGGCCTTTGGCCTTATAGGCTATTGACTCAGAGCCCATTCGGGCTCGAGGAATAATAATTGTTAAATACTGGGACTCTGTTGAAAGCTTGTTTATTGTTAGTTATAAACTGGACATTTACACCTCTATTTGTGACATTTTTGGTTTATCTTCATACGTCCCGCCGTTTTGGTTAACAGACTTTCTATTCAATTTAACTGCCCATTCTTACCCTTTTCATTCCTTTTCTACTTTGGAGACGACTTCTCAAACGAAAAAAAGAAAAGAGAAAAAAGAGAAAAACGTTACAAAGGTTTGGGGAGTTTGGTTAGTATACGAAGTGCTCGACCATCTATGAGGGGGTTTGGAGGTCAATTCCCTGGTGTCCTATATCTTGGCAACGACTTCAAAATTAGCCGTAATGGGAGAGGAATTTGCAATTTTAAGCTACTAGGGGTAATAATGTGAATATAGCAGGCTGAAATATTTCCTTTTTCACTTTAATACAAAACTGAAAACTTAGAATAGCCGAGGCGGCTTACACGAACCCAGACTACAGTAAAAACCCGCGAGTAAGAACCTGAAAATTATAAGAACCTGTTAGCCTAAAATGCGCCATTTATATCCCCTATAAACAAGAACCTGTTTAGCCTAGAAAATGAAAAACAGGTTCTTATCTTTTTAAATCATATTAAAATCCTGTTTAGAGAATTAGGAGATTGGCATTGCTGTACGAATAAAAGTGCTAATTCAGTTATTGATGTAATAAAAAAATAAAGTGCAAGAGGTTAATATTGTTGTATCACATTTTGAAATTGAAAAATAGGCCGATTACCATCTTGTTTTGTTGCTTGATTTTTTTTACAGAAATAAGAACCTATTTAAGAACCTAAATAGCCTCAAATTGTGTTTACTACCATTCAAATAAGAACCTGTTTAGGTTAACTCCAGAAAATGTAGGTTCTTACTTGTGGCTTTTTACTGTATTTTTGATAAACGGCTTTAAAATGTTTGTACTGTTACGAAACACCGTGGCCAACTGTAGGACATGACAAGTCTACCAACCTTGAACTGCAACGCACTAAAGCTGAGAGATGAGACTGATTTTATAGCCTTCAGTATCAAGCATTTTAATGTCAGGCTAATATTTAGATGTGCATTATTAATAGGTGGATTATTCAGGCATTTGTATGGTATAAGTAATTTCTGACATTTTTTAATGAAGCTTACGTAGAACAGTACGAACAACTCCTAATAATGACCAATAATACAAATTTACACTCAAGTTAATTCAAGTTTTCGTTCAGTTCTATGGATTGATCGAGTCACCAGCATGCATTATACTGAAACCTAAACATAGCAAGTGACGATTAGTAGGTAAGGTTGTAGACGGTTTATTAACAGAGCCTGCACATTGTGGCTCTTCATCTGTTACTGGTATCTAGAAATATCTCAAGTTCACTATAAAAACATAATATTGAGAAAATTATCAAAGGGAACTAAGTAGCTAAAAAGAGGAGAAGGGACTGGACTGGAAACCACCACGGTGGGCGGGAAAATAAAAAACGGGAACAAAACCTAACTTGAACTTTAACCCCATCAGTAACTTCGTTAACCACAGTTCTCTTTTCTCTTCCATTTCTCCGTTCTCCCCGTGACATCCGTGATTAAAGTAGAAAAATAAAACTGCAATATCTCAGTGCAACAAAACGAAACTAAATAACAAAACTGCCTAATGTACGTTTTTTGCAAAACTAAGAACTTCTCGTTTTTTCTCACTGAAAATTTAAAAAAACAGTAACCTCTTATTCCTGTTAAATTTTGTCACAATGAATCAGCTCAAGCTAGTCACTCTCCAAAAATACTGACAAATGATTTAATTATAGTAACGATTGATAGTTCGAAAATAACTTTTATCACCTATAAGTAAATGGTTTTTGCTCACCGACCAACAGTTCAAACAAAAGTCTCAGAAGAATCAAAGAGATATCCCTGAAGATTTTCAAGAAGTAGAATTGGAACCAAAGTTTTTATGGCATGGCCCTCGCTTTCGGATTTCCGACTTTTCATCCAACTAGGTAAGCCTTTCAAAATTATAATTTTCCTTCGCTGCAAGTAAGTAGTGTTCTTCCCTGGTTTGGCCTCAATCCAGCTTTTCAGTGCACAGCTGTTTTATAGAAAGCTAAAATTCCTCCTTGCGAATTACCTTTCGAAAAATTACTATCCGAAAAAAAGGTCACTAGAGAGTACCGACCTGCCAGACAAGTAACCCTCTGGACCGCTCTGATTCGTTTACTTTTTCTTATGACCTAATCCACACTTAACTGTTTGTACGTTTGTTAATTTTTTTTTTCCAAGTTATGCGCATATCTTTTGGCTAGCTTGACATCTTTGAGGGCCACAAGTTTTCAGTTTTTAACTGGCTGTCGTCACGCTCTGTAACTAAAGTTGATTATGATCAGAGATCGTGATATTAATTATGGTTATGATTATGATTCGGTCCTAGAAATCCTTGCCTTAGCTTACACTGAAAACCTTGCAACTTCGCCCAGTTTCTGTCGCTAGGGTCAGGGAAATAGGATCAGCCTGATGAGCTCAGTTAGGCGATTTAGGAACTGGATGGGCGATAAACCTGAATATCCTCACAGCAGAGTGCCTTAAAGCTTCCTATTCTTTCTCTTCTTTATTTCAGACATTTTCCTACTTTATTCGTTAACGCTTAAAGCAAAACAAATTTAACATTACATATGTATTATCACCACAAACGCCACAAACCCAATGTTTTGTTCTGCCAGCGTCAGTCAGTCAGGCGTTTAAATTCGGCAATTCAAAATTTCACGGAAACATTTTGATTTACATTGTAAAGAAAATCCGACTTGCAAATTTTTAAGACAACTGAGATGTTTTGGTCCAGCTAGTCTCACCAACTTCAGGCAAAATAACAATTTTTTTTTTTGTTTCAATTTCAGCTACAACAGCTACTTCAATCAAGTTGTCCCAGGTTATGGGTTTTTGCAAGATTTATGGAGGAACACAGCTCTCTTCTGCGAGGAACAGGCTCGGCAGAAGAAACTAATGAAGACATATTCGGGCCCAGTCATAATTGCTTGGCTGCCACTGAACCAGTACAAACCAGAAGAAATTTCACTCGATGTTGACGACGAAAATATAATGTTACACGGCCAGCATCGATCCGAAGGAGAAGATGGATTTGAGAATAGTGAGTTCATGAAAACCATTAAGCTTCCGGAAGACGTAGATCCCACAACAGTGACATCACATGTAACCAGAGATGGCAGTCTTCTAGTCCTCAATGGCATCAAACGCGTTGAAAAGAAAATAAAACCAAACGGTGACAAGTTCGTGGTTAAATTGGATCTGCGTGGATTTAAACCAGAAGAAATCAAGTTCCAGATTCGTGGACATGTGCTCATGGTCACAGCAAAACACAGATCGGAGGAAGGTGGTTCACGTGATTTCAGGCGTCGCGTTTTCCTGCCCGAGGACGCAGAGCTCAGTTCATTGACGTCACGCCTCTGCAGTAACGGCGTGCTAATTATAGAAGTGTCACGTGACCACGCGTTCGTACAAAGGGAAAGAAACGTGGACGGCATGAAAGATGATAAGCCCCGACCTCAAGACGAGACAAAACGAGAAGCAAATAGTAACACAGCGGTGGCGGATTGTAAGGAATCATTCCTGTAACACATTGTCAATTATTTATTACATTTCTGATTAATTTTTTTTTAATTTTAAGGAGCAACATTTCAGCATAGTATCAGAAACTCGTTTATTTTCACCTTGGTACAGTATAATTATAGTGTGATATCTTTTATAGTTTAGAATTTCACTGAAAGTCTGCGTTATTTCATCATCTTCCCTAAACGTTTTTGAATTGGTTTCAAAAACCAAGCAAGTACCAATATGCTAGGATAAAGAGGTAATATTTCACACTTTTTTTAGTCTGCTACACAGCCGTTTTTAGTGTCGTCACGCAACGCTCCTCTACGCTAACGTTGCGTGACGACACTAAAAACGGCTGTGTAGTAGACTACACTTTTAATGGATAAGCTTCTTCTTGAATTAAAATAACAAAACGAGAAAATAACATAACAATAAATCTTGTAAAACTTTTGTTAATATTGGCAATTATTCTATTTTCTTGAGACTTAAGGTAGTCCTTTTTTAGATAATAAACTTTATATGAAATATAAGTCAATAATGCCCCACTGTAAGAGTGCAATAAAACTTGGAACCTGAACAGAGTTGTATTCTTTTATCGTTCATACTGACCCTTTTTGACCTCTCGATGTTTAAAAATTGGTGGAAACGTTTGACCTTTGGCCTTTTCTACCTAAAGCAGCTTGCTTGGTTTCTTTAACTTGAGCTCTGCTGCCTTTCCTGAAGTTTACATCATTATGACATAACAGGCTCATGAAAACGGCCCATATCGCCCCAGCCTCCATCGCGCGCTCTGTTCTTTTGTCGCATATTACTTCCAAGCGCCTGCTATGCTACGCAGGCTACCCAGAAACCGGTAAACATCCGTTTTTCACAGCACTGTTGGTACCAGTTGTTAATCTCGTGATCATATATTTACGTCTGTCTTTGTAGTCAACAAAACGAAGGCCTTGAAATATTCTGTCCCGGTATCTTTGTTTATATAGATCTTCGAGTTAATTCCTTGTGTTTCTCTTGTTACCTTTCAAACGGTATATGTTAATAGACTGACAGTGTTGAAGGCTTTTTTATTAGTTGTTAATAACTGGTTTTACACCTATTTGAGACATGTCTGCATGGTTTACCTTCAACTTCTCAAGCCGCCGGTTGCGGTTTTTTCGACATCAATGCACTATTTACTGGGACTTAATTCTACCGGGATTGATGCCGCTAACTTACGCCTTGCGAGTGTGGCGCGGGCGGACACGGTTACACAACCCCTTCCACAGTAAATTAAAACGTTTCTTATCATTATTTTAGTATAGTTATTAAAACAATATCATATCTTGCTGCAGACCCACAATACTCGCCACAGATCGCTGAAACAGAAACCGTTTTTCTTGAATTTTCTCGAAAATTTCTTACATTCATTCTTCACACCTTTGTTCTCACGCATTCAAATGTGCACCTCTCCTTCCCCAATGTTGAGCTACGCGTATTTTGGTGCACGGAGACGACAATTTTGCTTGTGGAATCAGGAATCATGTGTTTTGGAATCGGGAATACAGCTCAAGAAATCCGGAATCTCTCTAATGTTTGGAATCCAGAATCCGAGTTCTACTGACAAATACTGGACTCCAGCACCTGGAATCCGGAATCTAGAATCCACGACTGTCCTGGATTTTCTTTAAAATGGGGCCAAACGACAGCAGCTACATTGTCTGTTTTTCTTATTGGCTAACAAAGTCTGTCGTGCGGAGACTTTTATTAACATAGCAATAACAGTCAGAAAACGATCACCATGGCTCTTAAGGGCACAGCAGTCCTCTAAAGTGCATGTTCGCTAGCTAGTCTTTAAGTTTTTACGAGATCGAGAGAAGTCTAAAACAAACTAAAGTCAAACTGCGCAAGGCAAGGTTAAACGTGGAATAGGTGGGGGAGGAAGGGGTAATTTGAATGAACTCAGTCAAATGACAAACCTTTGCAACAAACCGAATGCTGTTTTACAATTTTTCTAGAATAAAAATGTCTTTTTAACAGATTTTCTTATTAAACCACTATCATCTATAAACCAAGCCGAGGTAAACTAATGTTTAAGATGCGAAGCTCCCAAAGCTGCAGTAACTTAGGTTGGTCAAAGAAATGGACCACGAGCCGGCCAAGAGCTTACTGAATTATGAATTATAGTCGTACAAATAGATAACCATTGCTTATTTGAAGTACCATTTGCTTCTATCACAGGTTTCATAAGGGCCTTGTAACAGCGGGACTCCTAAAACAGAAACTGTTACTTTTTCTCACAACGTTCCGTGCCCATGGGTTCCCTGTAATTTTATCCAGTATTTTAATCAAAATTCCATGCTCCTTGTCATCCCGCAGAGCAACGTTCTCACTCATTTATCGAGTGTAATATACACGATAATATAAAGTTTTCGACCTAAACAGTGAATATGAATTATCAAACTTGAGTAGATACACGCCACGACCTGGGTACATATGACTACCAACTATTACTTCTTCGTTACAAGGCCTACGCACAACCGGAAGTATCTCATCTATTTTCGGCTTCGGGGAACTGGACTCGCTTTCCGTTGATTTCTCTTCTTCGGCGAATTCATCTTCATCTGATTCATTAACTGCCACCGTTATATTCTTGGTATGCGGTTGTGACCATTCAAAACAGACGCCGAAGCCAAGATCATAGTATTCTGTTGCAAACTCCCAGAAAAGACATGTTCCTAAACAAAAATTGGATGTCGTGTCACAAAAACAAACCATCAAAACTAATAATGGTTTTTCATTATAAGTGGTCGTTTAAAAAACTTGGGCCGGCCATAATTTGCTACTGCCTTTGCGGCCAGACAAATATCAATTCTAGTTCTTTTACTTATGTAATTTACATCGCTTTTAACGGTCAACTATTATTTTTTTCTTGTATGCAATGTATTGAATGATTTTCTTTTTTCTAGCAAACATATATTAAACTGAATTTGAAGCTGAAACTGCAACTGGTGTTCCGGCCACTTCTTTTGTGTGTTTATGGCACCTTAAATTTCAACACTGAGCGCTGCCCTTCCTCCACCAGAAACATTAACCCCCAAAGCAGACCAGCTTGTTGCTGCCTCTTAGAAATCTTTGATTTAAGAACAAAATTGTACAATTTATCTACAAACTCTCACCTCCCTCATGTGTGGGTACACGAACTGTCATTGTCTCACCACGCCCAACAACTAACACAGAGCTAGGATCAGACTTGACGTGTTGAATAAACTCTTGAACTTTGGGGCGTGTCCAGAGCGATGCAGGTGCTATTCTAGGTGTACCATTGACTGCCACTGTTTTGGGCTGCAAAATCAAGGAATAAAAGCTTCAACTTTACACTACACAGGCTTATGAATTAAACATTAATTCTGATAAACATGAACAATATTTCTCTTTCCCTACAAAAACAATACCAATACAAAGAACGGAGGTGAAAAGGCTTCCAATAATAATTATTATTAATATTATTTTTCTGAAGAAGCCGTAGATGTTAGGTTGTCTTACGATGTTATTGTAACATGTTTCTACCAAAGTAGCCAGGGATTACATTTCTGATCGCCAGGACAAATCCTTGGTTCCAGCTCTTTAAAACAACCCTCTCAGTGATAGCTGTGTTGTCTCTCAAATGAACACAACACAGGAACTCCAAAATGCACTGCACACATGAAACCCAACATTGCAGATTTTTTAGAGATTATTTACAACAACATTTTACTATATTCCTTCATTGTGTATACGGTCACACCCCGTCAATAGGGAGCTTTAGCAACGACGACGGCGACGGCTACAAGTTAAAGCAATTGTTTTATTAAGAAAACCACAACTTTTCGCGTGCATTATGCTTTTTTGTACATTTCCTTGCCGTCACTACACGACTACGACGTGAAAATGCCTAATTTCCCGTTTAATGGAGGATGTAAACAAGCGACTACGAATTTTTCTTTCTCTTTTTAAACTTGATTACGATCCCCAAGAAACCAACTCGAGGACATTGGCCTGCATTTGAAATTGTCAGCAATTTGGAATAAACGCGAAAAGAAAAGAAAAAACGAGAATTCGTTTTAATAGTGACGTTTTCGCTGGCGTCGCCGTCGTCGATGCTAAAGCTCCCTAATATGGACACATAGGGGGGCAGAGAAAGTGTCTGTATTAGCAGGGTGTCCATAATATTTAGCCGGTCGAATTTAGAGAAAATGTAAAGGCTTTCTTTCCCAAGGAAAAAGCAAACAGTCTGTAATAATGAGGTGTCCGTATTAAGCGGGTGTCCATAATAATGAGGTGCCTGTATTAAGTGGGTGTCCATAATAATGAGGTGTCCGTATTAAGTGGGTGTCCATATCAATGAGGTGTCCGTATTAAGCAGGTGTCTATAATAATAATGCGTCCGTATTAAGCGGGTCTCCATATTAAGTGGGTGTAAATAATAATGAGGTGTCCGTATTAAGCGGGTGTCCATAATAATGAGGTGTCCGTATTAAGTGGGCATCCATAATAATGAGGTGTCCGTATTAAGCGGGTGTCCATAATAATGAGGTGTCCGTATTAAGCGGGCATCCATAATAATGAGGTGTCTGTATTAAGAGGGTGTCCATAATAATGAGGTGTCCATATTAAGCAGGTGCCCATACAATGTAAAGCGGGGTTTGACTCAAAACAGGCTCAGAAGGCTTAGAGATAAGGCAGCGATGGCAGGTCCCCTGAAAGGGTGGTTACATACATACCTAGGCTCTAGAGACAACAATCTTAAGTCTCATCCACACAAATCTTGACATTTTTGAAACTGCCTATTTGTTCACCCGGATTTATCTGGACTAGACCTTAAACTGCTCTGGAAAGTGGTTCCAAAAAGGTGCGGTTTGGGTAGGCCGATTCACTGGTTGGCTGATTCGTGGTCCAAAAAAATATGCCGTTTCCAAAATATCCAGATTCGAGTGTGGACGAGGCCTTACTATACATGTACCTGTTGTCCTGGAGACTGTTGATGCTGCTGTTGTTGTAACCGTTCCTGCTGTTGCTGTTGAAGAATTTGCTCTCGCTCTTGTTGTTGCATTATTTCTTCTTGCTTTCTCCTGAAAAAACATCAATTCAACAAAGTTCAAGGCCTTCTTTTCAGACAACTTGTCCTGCAGCAAGCTGCCATAAATTCTGACAGGAAAATTACTAGCTGGGGTACTGCTAGCCTGTGTAGCATGGCAGTTTTGCTTGGGCGCGCTAAGTAATAAAGGCGGGCGAGGGCAGAGAAACTGCGAGGAGATTGGGGCGGGAGCAACTTGAAAAATTATTTTTCTCGCAGCTTAGCCACTTGTGCACCAGGCTCAACAAAACCGCCAAGCTACACAGGCTAGGGTCCTGCCATAGATGGGTGCCACTTGAAAGGGTATTAGTCTGGGATAGAGGTTTAGAAATCAGAGAGTTTGGGTCTAGAATAGAGTATTTTTTTCCAAGAAACTGATCATATTGGTTGAGGATTTTACTCTAGACCAGGAAAACCAGGTATTGACAATCAGAAAAATTGAATCTCAGCAACCTAAATTTACCTGCAACTCAGGTTAATACCAAAGAAAGGGTTGACCTCAGTAATTTCTGGAAAATAGCCATATTAGGATAGGGAGAGGTTTTAGAAGTTTAGTCTAGATTAGGGTAGCAAAATTATTTTGGTATAGGCAATTTCTTGCCCTCCCCTTGTGAGTCTTGTGAGGTCATCATATGTACACTGTACCCAGTCTTGGACGAGCGGTGATATTCCGGGTTTTTGTTACTTCTTTTGTTTAGCATCGGTTTTAGTGAATGTGAAGTTTTCGGAGTTTTTTGAGTATCAAGGTGAGTGAATGTTATTTTCATGTGAAAGCAGTTTATGGTGTTACTGAAGATTGTTTTGAAATTGAATCTCATAAGTCTCCTTCCTTGTTTATTATTATTAGTAGTACTAGTAGAAGTAGTAGTATAAGACTAAATTAATGCTGCATGGTTTATGACCTAACGCTGAAACACCAGAAGAATCAACACCCAGCAATGTGAAATAAACTCTACAAGTTCAGTGAATTACACCTGATGCATAGATTGATTTAGTAGTAGTAAGTAGTAGCAAGTAGTTGTGAGTAACCATTCTGACCTTTATACGGTAGTTAAAGTAAATGTTGTAAACATCAAAGCTTCAAGCTTACATGACAAAACCGAAAGGTAGTATGGGAAGAATGAGATATAACATGACAAACATGTTTCGTATGTTTACTTTCTTTTAAGACACGTGGAAACGAGGCAGCGCGGTGAAGTAGCAAATAAAACGAGCCTCTTAAAAGACTTATCAGGGAGAAAGGTGAAAAGTCAGGGAGGAAGGAGAAACGGCTGAAAAAATTAGGGAGGGAGAAAAATAGGGAAAAAATAGGGAGAAGAGAAATTTAACTGCCCATTCCTCTCCCCTCTTACCAGGTATGTAATGAAACACTTGGGACAAACCCACACAAAAACAGTATACCTTAAATCATACAAACTACAATGTAGTACAAGCATAATAAATGATAGTAATCATTTCTAAACTAAAACAGATGAAATACAAAAATTAAAGTTTCACACTGTACTGTCCACTCAAAAGTTACATGTTCAGGTACTTTAGGCCTACAATACTTGGCTGTGGGAGTGAAAGCAAAACAAGCATTGCAGTATGGAACTTACCTTTCTTCTTCTTCAGCTTGTCTCCTCATTTCTTCTGCTAATAATCTCTGTCTTTCACGTTCTGCTTCTTCTTCTGCTTCTCTTCTTAACCTTTCCTCTTCCTCTCTTCTCAGTCTTTCCTTCTCTTCTTTTTCTTTCTGCTGTGCTTCCATCCAGGGTCCCAACTCAGGTGAGCATGTACCCAGCAAAGAACAAAACTTTTTCATAGCTTCTCTTGGCTGCATGGTCCCTAGACTCTCCCAAGCTCTCCTATTATTGAATGTTCACAAAAAGTTACTCAGAGGATATCAATAAAAGGATACAATATAGGTCCCATTTTGCACGGCTTTTAAGAAGACCCAACACATATTGGAGCTGTGGCATTTTGCTATGATTAACAACTGAAAGCTTTCTGTTTTTGCATTATTGCCACCTACTTTAACCTGCTTTGTCAGACTTCTACCCACATGTACAAGAGTTATTTAAATTCCTAATTTTGCCATGATTGTATCTGGTTAGTCACAGATCAGACTGTAATAGCTTCGACCAATGACAGCAGCCAAAAAATACATTGAAAACATCTGTAACTTACAGTTATAACTAAACATTTGCATAGCAAAGTGAGATACATAACTACTGTTTTAGATACTGAGATATTCTCACTGAAAACATTGTAAATTTTCATATGCAAATGAGTTCTAGCTAATATTAGAGGGGTCAACAGTATTTTCTGCATGTGAAAAAAATGATACATGTATGTCTCAATATAATAAACACCATACCACAAAAAAGTGCTTTGTATGGTATTTGTGCACTCGTTGTTTTGTATCAGAAATCTCACCCATTCACTGTGCTCATTCTTTCAATGATAGATGCGTCAACAACTCATATAAAGACTGTACGTGTGCACTTTCTATCCAGTATTCTATGTGTACTTTAACCCATTCGCTCCTGGAGATTTTGCCGAAAAACGCGTTTTGAAGCTAGTCGAGTGGTTTTCTGGTCACTGTCGTGCTATAAAGAGCTAAAACTTACCACAAACCGGTTTACAGGTCGTACACTTCACGGCCTTCTGATCCAGATGCAAAATATCAGCTTGCGAAGTTCGGGCATGCGCAGAAAGCAAAATTTCGAGGACCTTAGGATTAGGTCAAAGGAAAGGTAGGTGGGTAATGGAACAAGATTTTCATGGAGATTTTCAGGTCAATGTCACATGGTTTTTTGCTTCTTTCTCCGGTGTCCTTGACTGAATTGCGCTCATTCTGGTATGGTTTGAAAGATCTCTTCCCTCTGCACAAGTTAGTGAAGAAAGTTGTCCTTGACCGTTAAAACTGATGACGTCACAAAGGGTAGAAAGGGCCTGGATCCGCACGGGCGGTTACGGGTGGTTCAGGGGCGAATGGGTTAAAAAACAATAGGACTGATGACATAACAAATATCCAAGAGGACCTTAATTTGAAACTAATCAGGTTGATTGTACTGACTGGAAAAGAAATCAATAATTATTACCTTCTATCATTACCAATAACATCAAAATAGCCAACATCAGGGTATTTTTCAGGATCATAAGCTCCACTAGAAATTTGCTTCCAATATGCTGTCAACTGAACTTTCTCATCATATGTTAGCTTTATTATTTGTTTTTCTACAAAGAAAGGATGATTCAAGAATTTAAGAAACAGTACTGGGGCAACTGTGACAAGTTACCACACATTACTAATTTTAAGTAAATTCAAGTAATAACAAAATACATAGTAGTTGCTTACTCCCTGTATTGTAAGCTGTATAACTATTTATGACAGACAATGGCCATAAATTACAGCTTATTAGTGACCTTAAGACGCACCGTTTCTGCCTACAGGTACAGGTAGGTGAACATGTTTGCCTCGTTATACTGAAGAGGACCATTATTTCCCACATGTGATAATGGTATTACTGTTCTACCTGGTGGCCTACTCATTTCTTCAGGGTAAGAGGCAATCTGTATACTTGTATTTACAGCTACGCAACAGGTGACTCAACTGTACCCATAAAAAGAAATGGTGTACATGTATCTCTAAAGGGACAGTTTATTATACAGTATTTACAAGTATGAGCCAGGGCTTCTGATAGGTCGCAGAAAAAAAAGTCAGGATTTTAAGGACAAATTCGTGAAAAAACTGGCTGATTTTGTGGGAATTTTAAGGGCAAATTTCGCTGAGTAAAATCGCCAAAAAGAGGCTGATTTTGTGGTTTTTCAGGGCAAATTTCCCTAGAACTCAATTGCATCTGTGCTGATCAGACCAGCGTTTTTAACATTTTTCTAACAGAGGTCAATGTTTGCTCTTTCAACAACAATACGCTCCAGAAATGAACCAAAAGCAAAGCCTTTAACATCACAGCTAGTGCCCCGTTTCTCGCAACATAGTCTATGTCTGGCAGTTTTGGGACGTTGTTTGCACGTTTCAGTGAGGAAGTTTTAAGATAAAATTAATTGCAAGTTTACGGCGAGTAAATAGCTCCAATAGCCGAGATATTAAAGTGTCAAATATGTTGTACAGACATGCAAATTGATAAGATTTCTACCAAATATCGTAGTAATTAATTTTCTACGTGTCCGCTGCTACCGCAGATGCATGAAATTTAATTTTGGCCACATGTTTGTTAGTGCTCACAGATTATGATTTTAAATACGTTTTAAGGATTTCAACTGGTTTGTAGTCTGAAAAAACAGCTAACATTTCATGATGCCACCACTGATGATATGGTCACTACCCAGGTCTGGGTTGTGCTTCTGATTGGCTCAAAATTTGCTTCAACCAATCAAAAGACTAGTACTAGCCCAATCTTACTGTATGGAATTAGGTCACTTCCAGGTTGGCCCTAGCCTCTGTTTCAAAGCCAGGCTAAGTGCAAAGCCATGGATAATGAAACTCATTATTCCAAGAAACGTTTTGTACTTAGCCTTGTTCTGAAAGTTAGGGTTTTTGGAACCTGGAAATGGCCTATCTCTGTAATCATTCCCCAGACATCATTTCACAGGGAAACCAGCAGTGGCATCATAAAATGTCCAGTCAGCTGTTTTCTTGGGCTAACTGATTCAGCATAATGCTGAATGCAGAATGTAGAATGCAGAACGCCAAATGCTCTGAAGTTTAGTGATTAGGGTTAGGAAACTGAGTGAATCAAGTTTGAGGTCAATTTTCCCGGTATAATGACTCCAAATGGAACCTGATTCACTCAGTTTCCTAACCCTCATCACTAACTTCAGAGTCATTTGGTATTCGGCATTCTGCATTCAGTGCTCTGCAAAATACCCCTGCTGTAACTAGTTTGCCCCATGCCAGTTAGTGGTTTATAATTCATGTTACAGTTTGATCAAGTTATACTTAAATAGGGATACTCCTAAAACAGTGTACAATGTTATGTCATAAAATACAAAACATACAGTCAAACATATAGTTTTCCTTCTTCAAGTACAAACAAATCAGTTTTGTAACAGAGCAAGGTGATTTTGTATTTCTCAGATGCAATATCACAAAATACTATCTTGTCTTTGCATTCCAAAAGAAATATCCAGTAGCCTAAACTGATTTGGTGAAGTACTGTATAATACTAATGAGTGACAGATAAAACATAATCAAATCTGTGGTCTTGCAATGCAAATCCAATAGGAAGTTTTTAAGCAATCAAATTTTTACCAGACAAAATCATCATAAATTTCTGTAACGAAAAGGTAGCGGAAATACTCCACGAAAAACTCAAGTCATCAGGATAAAGTAAAAACTATTTGAAATTTTTAGGAAAGAATTGAAACCGTGATGAAGTGACACGTACCTTTGTGGTAATACTGCAGGCAAAGTTTGTAATATTCCGGTAACGAATACCCGTAATTATAAGGTTCTTCTCTAGGTTCTTTCTCTGGTTTTTCGTTTTCCTCGATAGAGGTATTCTGTTCTTCAGTAATGGTCAACTCGTGAGAATTTTCGGCAATTTCACTGCTACGTTCAGCGTCCGCCATATTGCCACGAGTACGAACCAATAACACACATTTGCGCATGCACCGTCAGAGAAAGCGGAACCGGAAATAAAAGATCATCAAGTGCACCAGCAAAAACGCAAAGATGAGTGACAAGAAAAATGACTAGCGATTACTGCAGTGAACATTGTGTGTTTACAATCTATCAAAAGACTCTCAAAATCCAATCAATTTTACGGTTTGACTTGGTAACTTCAATTTGCAGAGTGCGTTACAGCGTGACATTTCTAAAAAGCCTTCACCTTCTGGACAATTCACATCGAGCAGAATGGGTGCTGTGCATGTGGTCTGGTAATTTACCTACATGCACTTTTTCATAATTTCTTGGGTCTCCTCCTAACCTACCAGGCAGACGTTCTTTTAACTCGTCACACAATCCTCCCCAACTAACGTGGAAAAGGAACGCGTGACGAAGCTTAATCCGCTTCGTAACACTCATCTACTGGCTCACGTGATTCGTATGATCCTGACCAGAATCTCCAGAAGATGGAGAAATACAAATGCTTGCTCTTCCTGCTGCAACTCATTTTTACTCTAAATCGCGTGGAATCTGAAAACCCAGCGTGCAGTAGCAAGATCTTCTGTCGGGGTGACCTTCTACGAAAAGTTCAAATGGCTCGCATTTTCAGCGATTCTAAAACATTCGTTGACATGCGATTGCAGAAAGATGAGGAAGCTGTGTTGCAATCTTTCAAGGCTCTTCCTTCGAACCTCACAAGAGAGCAAGTGATCAAATTTGTTTCGGAAAATTTTCACCCCGTAGGACATGATCTGGAGGAATGGTCCCCGCCAGACTGGGTGGAATATCCCATGTTGATCGATCAAATAAAAGACGCTAATCTGAGGAATTTCGCCTTAAAGCTTAATGGACTGTGGAAGAAACTCGGAAGAAATATCAGCCATGAAGCAAGAAAAGATCCTGCACGATCATCTCTTATTGTGGTTCCGAATCCATTTATCGTTCCGGGCGGAAGGTTTCGGGAGTATTACTACTGGGACTCGTACTGGGTCGTCCGGGGTTTGCTAATATGCGGCATGAAGGACACGGTCAAAGGAATGATTGACAACTTTATCCATTTGGTGAAAACTTACGGTTTTGTCCCAAACGGTGGACGAATTTATTACACGAATCGGAGCCAACCTCCTTTTCTGATCCCTATCGTAGAATTGTACCTTGAACACACTGGTGATACCGACTACGTTAAATCAGTTCTAAATGATCTGGAGAAAGAATACCAATTTTGGAGACAACACCGCACGGTTGAAATAGAGATGTCCCCAGGCAGGAAGTACAGCCTGTCTATTTACGCCGCTGATATGGATACTCCAAGACCGGAGTCTTACTATGAAGATGTTCACACAGCTCAGACAGTATCAGACGCTGATAAACCGACTCTGTACCAAGACATAGCTTCTGCAGCTGAGAGTGGGTGGGATTTTTCAACCCGATGGTATAACGGCACGGGTCCCGGGAAGGGATCAATGAGCAGCATGCGGACACGCCAGATAGTACCAACGGATTTGAACAGTGTTCTATTCTACTGCGAAAAGCTTCTAGAGAAATTCTCGCGCCTCGCGGGTAGTAAGCAAAAGGCAGACGAATATAAAAATTACGCAGAAGCTCGTCGAGTGGCCATTGAAGCTGTTCTTTGGGATGAAAGAAGAAAGATATGGCTTGATTACGATCGTCAGTTGAAAAGCAAGCAGGAAGATTTCTACGCCGCAAGTGTTGTTCCACTTTGGGCTGGAGTTCACCAGGGAGACGAGACCCGAGAGAAAGATGTACTCCGTACACTCAAGCGCGTGCAGGTTCTCAGTTTCCCTGGGGGATTTCCGACTTCCCTTTTCGCCTCCGGACAGCAGTGGGATTTCCCAAATGCGTGGCCCCCGCTACAGCATATGCTGATAGCCGGTCTTGCTCAGTCTACCAGTAAAGAAGTAAGGCAGGAAGCCTTTAATTTCGGCCAGAAATGGATTACGACAACCTACAAGGCTTGGGCCACGACGGGACACATGTTTGAGAAGTACAATGTTAGCGTGCATGGTGCCCCAGGGGGAGGGGGTGAGTATACGATCCAGGTTGGCTTTGGCTGGACCAATGGAGTAGTTCTTGATTTGTTACATCGCTACCCCGACCAACTGACAAGCGGAGAAGAGCCCTATCTAAAAAGCACCGTCGAATCGGAAATCAGATCTGAAGGCTGTTTCCTAGAAAAGTCTATTACTCTTTTAATTTGCAATGTTTTATTGGGTATCTTTTGGTTTGTTTTTCAAGGCTTTCGCGCGTAAAGTTTTTTTTTTTGTAGCACTTCTTTGGTTAGTAGGTCATAGTATTTTGGTCGATGTTGGGAAATCCTGTTGATTTTTATCTTAAAAGTCTGAAATGCTTGAAAAAAAGAATGATGGTGACATTGGTTTTTTCAGTCAAAAGGTTTTATCGAGGTGCAGTGGTAGGTTAACATAAAAACTGAAGAAACTCGTTTATTTGACTCTCACTGATGAGTGCCTTCTTTTCAGTAAGAATCATGTCAATAACCAAGCGTTGAACCTTGCGGAAACAAATTCCTTAATACGTAACAAAACCAACCTTTCCGACTCGAAAATGTCTAGAATGAAGAAGACCAACGGGAATGTTTAAATCAAAAGTAACCTGTTGTAAACCGTTGTCAAGCAAGTATTTGTCGTGGCGTGTGGTTCGGCTCAGGTTGAATTTGTTCGCATTTGATTTGGAAATCTTAGAACTGGGCTTACCGTAGTTTTAAGATACGTCAGAAAAATTACATACACATAGTTTTTTGCTGCTCTTTTTAAAAATCCCCTGACTACTCTCCCTGTAATTCTATTTACTAGAAAATAGTAGGAAAAGGGAACATGTTTTTTCCATATATTATGTGTTTGAATTTCTTGCTTTTCTTCTGTTGCTGATCGGACTCCGCGCCAACTAATGAACTGCCTGGGATTTCTCTCCACCATGACACAACTCGGCTTGAAACAATCGACTCATTGAAGCTCTCTGTTATTTCACCTTTTGGCTGTGGAACTCTGCTAACTTGAGAAGGGCCCCTAGCTTAAGTCTGAAAGTATCTCTCTATCGCGTCAGCCGCTGGATTAAATACTGTGTCCTTGTAGTGTACGCCATCCAGGGTCCCTCCTGGGTAGGAGCTCGAAACCGGGTACACATCAAGTACCATGAATCCGGCCTTGCACATCACCCAGTTTGCGTAAGCGTTGAAAAGCTGCACACGCTGGCAGAAAGGAAACGAAACAAATAATTTGAACTTGAAGCTGATATTCAACCGACTTTTTCAATATTCGGAGACAAAGAACTCGATTATATGTTTAAAATTTAAGTGAATATTTACTCGACATGACAACATTTATATGACTGCTCACATAGACGATAAATATCCTTAAGAGATATTATTATTATTATTAAGAGATATAGTTTCAATGAACTTCAAAATAATCTCAAAAACATACAAATCAATCGCCCATTGACTTAGTGTTTCGGGGTTTCTTGCGTTTGCCCTAGTTTCCTCGCATTTTGTTATTATCTTAGACTTGCTCTTCTCATGTTCACTGCCGGCTGCTCTTTCTTTGGCGCTTGTATGTTTTTCCGAGTATTTGACACTTGTTCGATTTTTCAAGAACAGATAATGTCATTCGGTTCAATATTTCTTTCTTTCATACTGATTGTTTTAATTTGACCAAGTTAATTCTTTTTTAGTAATTCTGCCGTTAAATTTGATCACCTTTATGTTCCAGTTTGTTTAAAGCCTTTTATCGTGTGGGCTGAAATTCAAGGCAAACGAAACTGACATTTCGACGTTATCACTTACATTCACCAGTTCACTTATGCTCTTATCGGTCACGTGAGAGATCATATGTCCAATAAAACCTGGTATGCCTGTGGCAGTACCTGTCATTGCAAGCTTACCTGTTCGGTATGAAATCTCCTGAAGCAGCCGCTGTACAGTTCTCTCTGATCGTGGATTGCAGTGGTGCTCTTCCAAATAACAGCACCTCGATAATACCGCTTCAGCACGCCAATTAATCCATTGATTATCTTTTGATAAACGTAGAAACTGGCGCTTTTTAACAGATGCACGCCGGCATTTAAAATTAGCGCGCTGTCCTGATCCATGTCTGAGCGCGTCACCACGGTCTGTAGCTCGTAAAGAATCCTGGGAATGTTAATAGGTCTCTTGCCAAACATCAAGTTCATTTCATCCTTGGCGGTCTGTGTCAACACATACACCCATAACATTGTGTGATAACAGGCGCGAAACACCTGCCAGCAGAGAGGACGTTGTAAAATGGACTGAAAAAAGTACCGGTTGAGAGAGTCACCGTAAACCCATAATACACCGCGGCCCTGTAGATGGCCTGATTTTCTGAGACCCAAAGGAGGACCTGTAAATAATAAAATACAATTTTCGGTTGTCAGAAATCGACCTCTCTACAATATTTTCCGTCCTTCAATGTTCCTAGACGGCAAAAAGGACTGGAACAAGGGCAATTTTTTTGTTTAAGAGTTTTGTTCTTTGCTGAGTTACAATGGCATCTGTCATTCAAAGAGGGCAGAAGGAAATTTACCTTTGCATATTTTGTTAGTTCTCAGTTCATTGCTAGACTATTTCAGAGAGTGTCACTTTACCTTTGTATTGAAATTTTAGTCCTGCCTAAGCAGGAAAACCCCTTGTCGAATGACGTAATTATCTTTATAGACCACGATTGGCGTGGTTCAGCAGGGATATAAAGCCATGCAGCGACTTTCACTCGAAGGCAGTCACTCTACCAACCAATCTTTTCAAATACCTTAGTCCACCCACTACCCTTCCCGCCTTCAAAATGTCAAAATGCGCCCTGTGGGAAGGTTTCACACGCTCAACGTGTTTGTTTTACTCTGTCCGCGCGAAGTCAAGTGATTGATTGACTTAACCTGTTAACGTAAACTGTCAAGACTGACCAATCATCGGGTATACCAGGGGCTGGTATACCAGAATGAGGTATTGAAAACAATGCTCACAGAGGTTCCACTTCCCGTCTCTACCCAGCTTCCACGCGGGTTTTCTGGCAGTTTTTCTCGATTCCCTCGGAGGTTACTTTATGTAGGCATATTACTGATATTAACCAATTGTGGCGGCTAAATAGAAGCCTGATCATGGGTTAATTTCACTGTACCTGTTTGATATGCTCTCCATTGTTCTCCTGCCCATGTTCCATAACCGTCAACAAGTAGATTGCAATTCTCTCGACACGCTGTTTGGCTTACGGCTTTGAATCCGTTCAGTTCTAAGGAGGAAAAAAGCACACTTAATAAAGCAAGTTGATATTACTAGAAAGCAGACTCTGAAATTGGATTCGTTCTTGAGTCGTACAAGTCTTAGGCCTGTTTCAAACGTCGTGCTACTGCCGTGCTAAGCTGGCTCGACTTTAGCTCGACTTCAGCACGATATTAGCACGGCAAGGCTTGCCGTGCTACACGGCAGTAGCACGACTTGGTTTCAAACGTCGTGCTACTGCCGTGCTGAAGTCGAATTTAATTCGATCAATTGAGTTCGGCACGGCAGTAGCACGACGTTTGAAACGGGCCTTAGAGTCTGAAGTCTTATCTGCCTCATCACAGGAACTATTGAGAGTCTGCATTCCAAAATCTAGTACAGAAACTTGACTTCATTTGACTACGATATCAGGTCAATAGGAACGAAATTCTTAGTCCCTTTTACATTTTATTAGCCTAACTATATCACTGTCAAGGATCACCTTTAGTGAAGGACGCTGGTGACGCGGGAACAGTAAACGTAATTTTTCCGTCAGCCAGAAGCTCCTGTAAGAAATCATGAGTTCTGTTACCTAGGCTCCCCTGAGGCTGAAATGAACCGTGCCGGCAGCCTGGGAAAAGAGAGAGCTTTTGATCAGGGAACATGCGCTCAAGAATTTTGCATTTAGGTTGCTAGGTAACAAGAATGTCATCTGTCTCTAAAATTCTGAGAAAAAGATTTCCTTTAGCAACTGGGACAGAGCAAGTATTTGGTAAACAAAAAAGAATTATTATCTTTTAATTATAAATGATTCCTTTTCTTAGGTGACTGAAACAGTTCGATGATATAAGTTCTTGATCATAATCTCTGAGAGATTTTATAGGTAAAAGTTTCACTAGGTAGGAGATGTCGGTGCATGCAAAGTCCTGGCGACGGATAAAAATGCGGTACTTCTGCACGGTTTGCAAAATGTCAAGTGATTTGAAAATCAAAATCTCCGAGGTATTCATCAAGTTAATCAAGTCACCGTAAACGCGTTCTCCCTGACTATTACAATAATTATAAGAAGGTTTTGTAGCCTTTAACTAGATTTTATCCAAAGGTCATTCGGCCACGAATCAGGAAATTAATACTTCAAACACCGAAAAATTTTAGGAACTTATGGCTATCCGGAAGTCAATTTAATTTGCTGCTAAAATCATGCATCGCGACTGGCCAATTTGACTTCTATTGAGGCTAGAAAAGGTCAATTCTAACTTTCAACTAAACGAGCGAAAAAGACAACTCTGTCCAAGGGGGACCATTGTTTGCGGGACTAAGTTTCTATCTTGAGAGATGTTCGCCTTATGAGCCAAAGAAAATGACTGGGGAACGACAGAGACCATCTCCTTGGAGATGTGTCTTCCAGAGGTGCCCTTTAAGAGAAATCTGATTGTTTGTGTGTCGGCACAAGCCGATTAATAACGTTTTACCTCGTATAAACCAGTCCAAAGGAGGATCTTTAAAACCCTCGCATAAAGAGTAATCAAGGACAATCTCAGCCCAATAGGACCCAGGCTCATCTGGTAAAAACACGGCCTCGTATAGTCCGTTGTTCTTATCGTATACAGTCGCAGCCATGTTAGATGGTCCTCGAATATCGACACGCCAGGAATCGCCTCCGATTGTTTTGTTTTTGTTTTCTGCTGACACTGACTGAATGTAAATCTTGCTGAAAAATCCCGCCGGTCTAATATCCATGTAATTGACGTAACTTTTACGAGCCTGCGTTCGAAGGCTCTCGTCCAGCGGTTGTGCGTCCTCCCACGGCACATGCTTCAAACATTGTCCAATAGTATTCTTCCAGTCGTATCTGTGCATGCGCATTTTGCACCAGTTTAGTTTGAAATCAACAGCATTTTTCCTGTAGTTCATCCTCTCGGTTTCAATCGACTGTTTAGTGTCAGAGAGCAAAATCAAATTTCCAAGAAACATAACATGGAGTAAAGTCATTGTGGACTGGGCCTGGCACAGCAAGGAAAGTACACATATCACTGGTTCTCAGAGTTTACAAATATTCTTGGTGCAGTTGGTTTAAGATATTCTTCTTTTGATGCCAACTTCATGTTTCATTTGTGGATAATTTTCTTACGATTCTGCGAAACGAAAAACATGCAAAATGTAAAAAAACTCAGGAACATCTCAGTCATGATCGACTAAAACTGTGCCGATATTCAGTAAATCACTTTACTGTTTAATCTGAAATGCCCTGCCGGTTTAGAATAAATTGAACATATGAATCAACTTCGTGCAATGTAATATTGGAACTACTGAATAACATACTGATGATAGCCGCCAAAGAATTAGTAAATCAACCAGCTCAGCTTCTTTGAGCTTTTAAAATCTAAAACTGAGTAGTTGCTTAATATATTTTCAATGGGAAGCTCGAATACTTATGATCAGGGAAAAGTGAGCGTTTGTTTAGAACTGACTTGATAAGTCATTGTATTAGGGCGTTTAAACTTTTATCCACGCGACTGTATATACCGAAAAGAAGGCAAAACAAAAAGTCAAAAAACGCTGGACACCGATTGCTGATCAAATATACCTCACCATGAAGTTTACAAACATAAATTGCCAGGAAAGGTACATTTCAAGAGTTAAGTTTGTAGAAATACCGGTAAAAGCGTGGGAAATAAAAGTCATAGTTACGGCATACAAACAGCAACATACTCACAGTATCCTCTTGTAGTTACGTGGTTAAAAATGGAACTTTTCGAGGGTCCACTTAATCTAGGCGTGAATTGAAAGCAAAAGAGTTGCCAAAATTTCTTGTTTTCATAATGTTGGTCATTTATTTTTCATAGATGTTGTTCGTGACAATTGCCACACATGCAACCCTTGTCAAGGGAAACCAGTCATTTTGTTAAAATGAATACAGGTATCAAAAATAGAAAAACAATATAATACAATACAATGCAAAAACACGCCCATCAAATCGCAATTCTGAGAAAGAAACGTTAAGTAATACGTGAGAAGTTTAGTGGGCATCTTAAGTCTTCCATATGAAGAGGGCCCAATAACAACATAAGCCAAGAAAAATTTTCAAATTTTATTTTGTAAAATAGTCAAAAATAAATAGTTCCATTCAACAGTGAAGCTGAACACTCAAATAGCTGCCATTATTCCATTGTTTTTTCGCGTTCTGAGGATGAATTCGAAACGAGGATACCGGTAATATACATCCAAGCCAGAGGAAGGGTCCCCACATGATATCAAGCGGGTTCATCTCGTTTCAGAGGGTGTAATTACAAATTTTGGTCGGAGAGGGCATAGGAGCCTGACGGGCACTGCTCTTTGCTTTGAGTGAGGAAAAAGGGGTAAGACAATGAAAAGGAGAACTCACAATTAAAGAACAAATTTATCGCAATTGAGGTTTAGGATAGCTCTTACTTGACTGTTTTTTTTCAGAATGGTTTCTTTTAGCGGGGTCAAACAGGGCCGTAGCTACCTGTGCGCTAACACATACCAGAATGCCTGGAAAATTTCGGAATAAGATAAAAGCAAAACGAATATTTTTTAAAACTACCAAAGGATTAAGTGAACGGCAGAGAGGTTTGTCCAAAAAGATGGAATTGCTTATATTATGTGTCTCCGCTTTAACGTAGCCAGATTATTTTTCAAAGTAAAATTCAGTTTATTTCCCGATTTTGTCACACCCAAAAGCCGTAACCAAATCTTCTACCTCAAGACCAAGAGAAACTGCAAGAAAACAAAATTTAATCAACTCAACCGCACAGACTGACGGTTTGAGACACAGAGAAGGGTCGATTCGGAAACCTGTGCGCACATCAGGAAAAATCCTAGCTACTTCCTCGTCAAGACAGGTGTCATAAAAGCTCCTTAATTCCAATTTCGACTTATAGCTATTACATTCATCAAGTACTCTAGCATTGTTGACTTTATTACTCTAGTTTACGTTGATATAAAGAAGGTTATTAACAACTTTATGTCGATGTATAAATTGCAGAAATTTGCGTTTTAGAATACCAAATTGTTTTCTCTAGCCTTTCATGGTTCCTACTGGCATCCCATTTTATTCTGTGTTTGTGTTTTGTATGTCCATGGCTGCCCTATCTTTGGCCCCTATGGTTAGTTTCGGCGAACATGTGATCTTCTTATTTCTGCAAATGCTTTCTAATCAGTTGTATAAAGATTGGTGTTACCAGAGATTCCCGACATTCCCTGTTGTTGTTATCGTGCCAGTCAACACATAAAGAGGCGAAAAGACCATCAGCAGGTCTAGATCTGACCATATCTATAGGCCAAATTAAAGCCCGCAGGGTTGGAGACTGGAGACAGTTAGCAATAACAGGCCAAAGCATAAGCTTCAGTTCACTGAAAAGAAGATACTACTGTAGTTGGCAAATATGGACTGTCACTCAAAACGTTAAAGGCAGTTAAGTTCATGATAAATCTTCACGCGCAGTCGATGACAAGGAGCGGATTTTCATACGGGATCACTAGTTTGTAAAATTTTACTCTTTGGTTACCAATCCACAGGCGCGCACGAATTTGCGTCTTTTGCCGTGGATTTAGTCAAGCTCAAGTATAGAGCGCGAGTCAGGAGTTTGACCTGAGATTAAGAATCACTTCACTCCGCGGGGCAAAATGTAGCCATTATGTACTGAGTTCGGAAGCAGCCTTGATGGGCATGCGTATCAGGCAAAACTGTTCGTGATCACGTGGTAAAGTATCTTTCCAGTGCGTCCTCGGCTGGGTAGAAAACAAAGTGGGGATAATGAATGCCATCGAAGGTTCCCTGTGGGTATGATGCGCTGATTTGATATACATCCAAGACAGGGATACCAGCATCACACATTTTTTCCATTGCGTAGGCGTTGAAGAGTTTGATTCTCTGAAAAGCAAAATTTAATATAACAATTATGTGAATAATCACTCGTTTATCGCTTTCCTTCCTTAGTAATCAGTTTTCTGGTCTTGAATTACGTCAAAGTCGTCCGAAATAATAGCCCTTGTCTTATGCGTACACAAAAAGAATTCCCTCATAATTCTGCAGTGTCGTGCACAAAGTTTAGTTGCATGAGTACGACGATTTAGTGCGAATCCACTTGTCTCCATTTGGACGGGCACAGAAGTTATATCAGAGACCTTTAGATCGAGGTCCATTGGTCTGGCGATCTTACCGCAAACGCCAAACTGCGGTTTGCGGTCAGTATATTCATGTTAGCCGTCTTAGGAGTTTAGATTCGCGAGTGGTTAATTGCAGCTGCCATTTTTGTTTTCATCCATTCGTTGACTTCTATTTAAGCTGATAAATCGTCTTCAAAATTACGTTTCGATGACAAAGAATTCGGTAATTTATAAGCAAGAGAGTTCTAAAAAGTAGTATACCGTCTCAAACGTGGGATGGTGATGTTTTAGGGTGCAAAACCCTCGTGGCAATTCAGTTACCTCTAGAGCGTGGTCTAGCTGTACAATCGTAAAACTAAAACTGCAAACCTGACGACAAGGCACTAGTCACGTGACTTGTTGACGTGCGCGGTGTGAGGCAAAAAGGCTACATCGATCTTAAGGTCTCTATTGAGTACCTTACGAGAACTGACGAACCAAAATTATTTCTTCCTTTTTTAAACATCTTGCTTAAAGTTACCATCTTTGCTTTCTCCATTTCATAAATTTATCCCTATTTATCCCTGCTTTGCTTTCTACAGTACGTTAACTTGCCTGTTCGGTATGAAAGCGCCTACAGCAACCGCTATAGAGCTCTGTTTGCTCCCCAAGAGAAGGTATCGTCTTCCAAACCACCGTCCCGCGGTAGATCGCCTTTAAAAGTTTAATAAACCCCTTGATAATCTTCTGATAATTTCTAAAGCTTGTGCTCTTTAAGAGATGTACTCCCGCGTTTAGTACTAGAGCGCTATCTTGATCCATCGAAGGCTGCGTCACCACTTGCTTTAGTTCCTCCAGTATCTGCGTCACATTGATGTCTCTACCACCAAAGCTGCAACCAAGCAAGCAAACAGTTTCGGCTCTTAAAACAATGTTTCGGTCCATTAAATGAAAATAAAGGAGCAATCTGTCGTTTACTGCGCGATGGTTCTGAGTATTCTGCTGTTTGTCTAGTCATTTCTGTAAATTCGTGATGATATCTCAATAAACCTGATGAAGACTGGTATTGGCCAGTCGAAATATCGTAACTTAACTGTAGTTCACGTTGTTTGATCAGTCCCTGCAAAAGTCTTCTTGACTGTAACGTTTTCAATTTAACAGCTACTGAACAGAACTTTCAGGTGGCGTTGTCTTTGGGAAAATCGAAAGGGGTTAACTATTTAAAACATGTTGTTTCATCAGTGAATGTGATCATTGTGTACGATGACGATCAGTATATCCTTTTTCAATAAACCTTTTTCGCGGTCTAACCAAGCGAACTCTCTTCAGCGGAGTTGTATCAGGCGAGGAGGGGGGGGGGGGGGGGGTAAAAATATCAGTTTAAAACTTTGCAGTTATCATTTGTCCGTTAACCCCATCGGCGGGTCCTCTGTTCAAAATTGACTTCTTTTTATTTCTTGCTGTTTGCTTGTTTTTGAGGTGAAGTTTTTAAACAGCGGTCTGGACGTCTTGGTTCGTACGAACATTATTACCTAAGGTCCATTTCCTGTGAATTGACGGTTCCTAACGTGTACACCCAAACATCCGTGTGATAACACGCTCTAAACACGCTTCTGCACAGCGCTCGACGTTGTAAAGATTCTGCGAATCGTCGATTGTGCGAGTCACCGTATATCCACAATACACCAGTCCCCTGCCGATGACCTGACGGGAGGGGACTGAAATCATCTAAGAAAAAAGGTCAAAAAGTGAACAGTGACATGAGCTATTGCGATATATCTGATAACAAGCTGACTGGCGCCTCTCGCTACATAATTTATGTTGTCTGAGAGATTTTCGTTCTTCCTTAAAATGATTCGACGAAAACAATAAAGAAACACGAATATAAGAATTTGATTGGTTTAGCGAACAGTCTCGCGCGCGGCTTTCGAGTTGGTTTAATTAGCTAACACGCAGCACGTTCTCAACTGAAAAAAAAAGATTGCAACAAAATTCATTTTCTAGGACTTATAACTACAACAGAACATGGGTTGCAGATTAGAGACAATCGAACGATGCTTTTTCCATCTAAGAGTTTTCTCTGGTGAAAAGCATACTAGAGTTACTTTATGAAACAAATAGCGACTTCACAGAAACTCTTTTTCAAGTTCAAAACAGAGCAGGACAAATGAAATTCCCATCATTTGACTGATTTTGGCGTCAATAACTAATGTTAGAAACTGAAGCACAGCTTTGTTACCGGTTCGTACCTCTCTTGTATGAGAGCCAGTTCCCATTTCTCCACCGACCGAAGCCATCCCAGATCAGAATGCAGCGTTCCTTGCACCACCGTGTATTTGGATTGGACAGAGAATCAGAAACTGCATGTCGGCGGAAAGAAAATTAAGTAAAGTCGATTACGAACTCACACCAAAAGCAGATTTACAAAAATACTGTTTCTCAGTTGACCACCGGATAAATCACTATCTAGCGAATAATTATTAAGGAATCTATACTATTCTACTCTCTCTTAATGGACACCTCTATAAGACTAAAGGACTCCTCGGTAAACGGATTCATCGAGTTGGTCCCTGCCCTAGCTACTTTACAGACTGCGAGCAGTCTCTTTTTTTCTTCAGATTTAGTAAGGTTAGTGGACGCCCGCGCGCCTCTCCCGTCTCGTGCCTTCAGTCACGAGCGTGGTCATTTGCGTGTCTCGGGCGTTTTGCTCGAAGGACCAGCTACTTTACGGATACTTACTGCCGGTCCCAAAAGTGTTCGTCTTAGAGATTTGATTATAATGTCCTTTTCAAGTTGATAAAGAATCCTAAAAGAAACAAGGTTTATTCCCCTACTTTTTTATCCTCAAATGTGTGTTTAATTGTAACTTAATTAAGCATCTTACACGGAGTGTCCAGCTGTGGTCTGGCTGGTGGAACCTCTACTGAAAAACTTGCGCCGAAAAATAAAGGCCTGTCAATGTAGTCATCTGAAAGTTCGAGTGTTCCTGGCCTCTGAAAAGAGCCATGACGGCAGCCTAAAGATTAAATAATTATGATATTTTTAAGGTCTGATATCTCCACTGAGAACCTTGCTTAAATCAGTTAAATAACAAAAAATACCCAAATATAAAACAAGCACTGGTAAATAATTGAAAAGTTGGTGGGCAGGAAACGAAGGAAAGACTGAGGAAAAGGCTTCACGTCTTTCTCTTCCGCGGCTTTCCCTATGAGCTTTCTTAGTTCTTCCAGTCTTCCTTTTGCCCTTCTTCTTTTTTTCACCACTTGTAGGGAAACAAAGTATGCCTATTTGAGGTGTTTAACAGTGTGTCAAGTAGATGAATTAAAAAAATATATTAAAATGATTCAAGGAAATTATACCGTAGCGGACAAGTGCAAGTTTATTATATTTCAAAAGACTAATAATCTATCTTCTCTCTCTTCGACTTTCTTGATTCATATGCCCAGATTTTTCATGCTTATGTTATGCATTTTCTGTTGAATTACCTGCAAAAACTGCCTCATGGCATGCGCATGCGCATGGTAGTATTGAGAATTTGCATGTTGACTGTCGCTTTATCCCACAGAGTTGATAAATATCACGTGATCTTACCTTTTCGAAACCAATCAGGAGGTGGATTTTTTAGCCCGTGACATAATGTATAGTCCAACGCGATATGTAAGTAATAGGTCCCAGGTTCCATGGGAAGAAACACGGCCTGATAAGTACCATTCTCCAAATCATACACTGAGGCCATGAGATCTGCTGGGCCTTTTACTCTTACGCGCCACGCATCACCTCCAAATGTCTTTGTATGATTTAGGACTGTCACAGACTGTATATAAACCTTACTGAAATGTCCAGCTGGTTTGATTTCTGCTCCTGAGATGTAGCTTAAGTTTGGATGAGTCTTGAAGCTATCGGCCCAAATTTCGTGGGCCCAATTCCGCGCATAGCTTGGGCACCAATCTGTGTAAGTCCGCCAATCGGTTCGCATTTTTCGCTCTCGGCACCAGTTCTTCTCAAATTGATCCTGAAGCTCTTCATCTCCCAGTATGAGGATACCATATAAACTTGGTAAAAGCAGTAATAAAGTCCTTTGTTTCAGAAGGAACGGCATTTCCGAACATGATCTCACTGAAAAATGAGAGAATTTCTTATTGTTGTAGTACCTAAGTCTGGAACTTCCCTAGCTATTTCCTCGAGACCATGAGAAATTTCTCTCATCGAGATGGCTGCGCAAGGCCTAGGAAGGAAGTAATCACGAATGGAGTCCAGACTCCCGGAACTGAAAACGGTCATTAGCTAAGACCGCCACTAGGGAAAAATCGCGCTTTTTGAATTTAGGACGACAATTTCATGAAATACTCAGTAGGGTCAAGAGAGAATGAGATCATGCTCTCTTGGTAGGGTAATGCGGATGCAATCAATTGTGTCTTTAGTAATAATAAATTTTGCACCGGCGCTAGAGCTTCTATTACTTCTGAACTTCCATTTTCTTGACTATGATGGATTGAAAGTCAGTTTAAATCAGTTTTCACATCAGTCCGTAATTGCATCTTTGTCAACAATGTCGAGGATACTGTCCCTGAGTAAAATTTAAAGACGAAGCGTCGCCTCCTACTTTAGAGTACACGTAGAAGTTAAACACCCGCTGTCTCACCCGCAACAGAAACGCCTGGCGCCACTTTGGTCACTGGTCGCTTCCAGCGAACGATAATTGTTGGCTGTCATATCAAACATTTAGGGGAGGGATGCAGACGCAGACTAAATAATTGTATTAATTTTAAATCTCGGAGTTAATTGGCAAACGACTCTGGTAAGCCGCAGGGCTAAACACTTCTTTATTATCTTGAGATCAAGAGAATCAGGATTTATGTGCAGAACTAAAAGAAAGGCAAAACTAGTCAAGAATTAAGGAGCAAATTAACATCTAACGACAGATTTCAGTCAATATGTCATTTTTTCAAAAGCATATAAACACTTTTAAAAAAATATAAACACCTTATAAAAATTAATTAGATAATAGTAGATCTAGCACAATTTACAAAAGAAACAATAAATAAGATAAAATTATTCAAAAAAACTCACTGTGTTATCGCGACGCCATTGTCTCTACGAAGTTAAGCAGACAAAATCAAATTTACATTTCAAAACAAATGATCTTGTCCGCGGAAGGAGCAAGGTGAATATTTACTTGTTGACAGAATTTATATCAGTTGAAGTTGGACGCCATCTTGAAGTTGCGGGTTCGCAGGTGCTGGGCCACCCGTGGCCTCGTTACCACGTTGAAGTTGGACGCTATCTTGAAGTTGCGGGTTCGCAGGTGCTGGGCCACCCGTGGCCTCGTTACCACGTTCCCTTTACTTCCAGTCCATCATGCAAAGCTTTGTAGTCTGTGTAACGCAGTCATCTATCCAACAATCTTTATATTCATGCTCAGTTGTATTAAGGTAAGGAGAAATGAAAACTGAGCTAGAATGAATGATTTTCACGCCAAATCAGTAGTAATCATTTGCGTATCAATGAGTATTGTGAAAAGCTTTGCAAAAAGTAACTGACCGCCACGTCGTTGGAGTCATCATCTCCGTTGTCGTCGCCATAGCATCTCTTCCAAGTTTGATAAACATAATAAACTGCCACAAAAGCCAAACCGACAGTAGCACAGGCCAGGAGAAATTTCTTCATTGTCACAATGCCTTGACAATGCCTTAAGGTGGCTCGATACAGTTTTTCAGGGTCAATACCTGCCAAGTTTGAGCATAAACTACGTCGCCATAAACAAAGTTTTGGAAAAATTGCCACCACAGTTGTATTAGATAAAGATGAAAATTTGTTTTTATCAGGGTTGCAACGGCATCGGAGTTGTCATAGCAACGAAATGACGCTATTACCTATTTTACTTGCAGCAGTATATGTCGGCACTGGGAACTGTGCTTCGAAAATCATTCACGGGAGCTTTTTCCTCCAATAGCAGCCTCGATGTTCGTGAAGTTTAAGCGAAATCTGTAAGAGCGTTATCGAGATATTTTGGGATAAAGTTTTTATTGTTAGAAACACAGTAAAAAATGGACAATATTGTTGTTTGGTCGTTATCTGTAGAAAGTGAAGCGCTTTCGACATGAAATTTCACCTCATAGTAGTTTCAATCTTTTTAAACGCCTGTGTGAAAGATCATGGGAGATAGCTCCAGCCGATTGCTAGAAAGAAGGGTTTGATTAGTATGTACCGAAGCGCTCTTGTTCGCGGTTTTGTAAACATTTTGGTCTACTTTAACAAATTAGCGAATAATTTTTAAACCGCTCGATAGATTGTTTTAAAAATTTAAGATTCTTGAGATTAACCTTCCTTTTATATGACCTTTTAGTTTCAAGATTATTGATATATTGTAAGGCAGTAAAATAAGGGCTACAATTCGTTACTTTTTTATCGGAAGTTTCGTCATTACAAGTGAAAGCCTCTAATTATTCAAGGCATTGTCTACAAGTTTCATTTTCACGTGAACAGCAGCAACTAACAATGCATTTGAAATATGCAAAAATGCTAGCTATTGTTGTGCACGAAAATATGAAACTTGGACACAAGACCTTGAATAATAATGAGAGGCTCACACTTGTAAACACAAACTTTCTGCCAAAATATTAGCGAATTGTAGTCCTTATTTTACTGCCTTACAATATATCAATAATCTTGAAACTAAAACGGTCATATAAAAGGAAGGTTAATTTCAAGAATCTTAAATTTTTAAAACAATCTATCGAGCGGTTTAAAAATTATTCGCTAATTTGTTAAAGCAGACCAAAATGTTCAAAAAACCGCCAACAAGAGCGCCTCGATACATACTAATCAAACCCTTCTTTCTAGCAATCGGCTGGAGCTATCTCCTTGATCTTTCACACACGTTTTTAAAAAGATTGAAACTACTGTGAGGTGAAATTGCACGTCAAAAGCGCTTTGTTTTCTACAGATAACAGCCGAACACCAAGATTGTCCATTTTTTACCGTATTTCTAACCACAAAATCTTTATCCCAAAATATTTCGATAACGCTCTTACAGATTTCGCTTAAACTTCACGAACATCGAGGCTGCTATTGGAGGAAAAAGCTCCCGTGAATGATTTTCGAAGAACAGTTACCAGTGCCGACACATACTGCTGCAAGTAAAATAGGTAATAGCGTCATTTCGTTGCTATGACAACTCCGATGCCGTTGCAACCCTGATAAAAACAAATTTTCATCTTTATCTAATACAACTGTGGTGGCAATTTTTCCAAAACTTTGTTTATGGCGACGTAGTTTATGCTCAAACTTGGCAGGTATTGACCATGAAAAACTGTATCGAGCCACCTTAATATACCAAACATTGAAACACGACTGAGCGGAAAATACTCAGCAGAGTGTAATTAAAACAATGCCGTAGAGAATTGAGAAGACATGTATAATGGATTAATCAATTAATTAGTTAATAATAGTGAGGATCACTTTCGTTGTGTGCGCAGACTGCAGTACTGACGTGCAATGGGTCTAGGTAGGTCCGCGAGGCCCGTACTGTATAGCATCAAAATCTTTGCGCAAACGACACAAGAAGCTGCTCTCTCTTAAAACGATGCTATACAATGAGCCCGACCTGGAAAAATTCCCAGACTTTCGCTCGTTTGTACAGTAGTGTTGTTTGTTCGTTGTTTCCTTATGTTTTCCGTCATTTAGGACTCAGTTTTACAGAAATACGCTCTCTTTAAAGGTCTCATCCAATGACAAAACGAGACAACGCATTGATCTGTTGAAAGTTCAATTAATCACGAAGGCCACTCACATACGTTGTCTAATTTACACCATACTTAACACTATTCAAACAAGGGGGTGGGGGCTTATAAGGCCCCTCTCGCTAAAAAGTTAAATTCAAAACTATGATCACCAAGTTAGCGAATTTTCCAAAAACTTTTCCAGGATATCACTGTCACTTGGCTTCTTGAGGATTGTTTTATTTCCAGTGCTACGGTTTAAACATTAAGTAAAATTCTGCAAAATGTTTGACGCTGTTACTGAGACTTGAATGAACACCAATGTGGCTGACCATGTTTGGAATAACCACGTACCGTTCCAGACTTCTGTTCTTTGCGAAGTCATCAATGGCAACATCCATGGGATATGCTTCATTACAGTTCACTGACTTTAAAAATTTAGCGAGCTCCAGCGCATGAGATCTCTGATAAAGAACCCCAGGTGTGCAACATCCATGAGCCTTGACAACGGAATACAGGACTGCGGAGAGCTTTCTTAATTCTATCAAATGAGCTCTACCAACAGTATAAACAACCAGGACAAAGTACGTTGACCACACTATAAAAGCACAAATAATAAATTGTTTTTTAAATCTTAAACGGGTTTCCAGTTTTAATTCTATCCACGCGCCGAAACATCCCCCAAGAAAACCAACCAATATAAGTTCTGGTAACTCAGGCCATCCGAAGCCTTGCCACTTCTCAGGGTAATAGAGTTTCAAAAACGCCCAATCTCGGCGCGTTTTTAAAAATTTCCACGGCATCTTATGTCTTAAAACAAAGCGAAGATCCTTCAGCAGATTTTCGGAAGGCAGGGCGTCGTCCTCAATCATTAAAACGTAGGTAGAATTGTACTGTAAGACAGTTTCTAGACCCACGACATAGTCTTCTTTTTCGCGAGACCTCAAGTTAGAAGTAAGAGGAGCTGAACTATTTGTCAAAGTTATAAAGCTTGATAGATAATGCGCATCTTCGTTCAGCCCCGATTTAGGATCAGAATTCAGAATAGTAATAATACTTCTCCCTCCATCGTCTCTAACTTGAGGAAGCAAACGAGCGGTCACTTGCAATAAATAATGCGTGTTTGCCGCGCGAAAAGCAGTAAGGACTACTATCAAGAACTCGATTTGTTTCGATTGCTTGGGACTAAGGGGCTTGGTCCTTTGTTTTAAAGTTTCCAGATTTTCCCTAGCATGTTTAGTTCTTTCGTCGTTTTGAATTTCTAGCAACTTGTAAGGCTCCTTTGGCTTGGCGAAATAAGTCGAGAAACCAAGTTTGTGACACAAGACTGGAAGTACAAGAGCGAATGTTAGGATATAAATAATGGCAACAAAGAATCCACGCCTTCCACACAAAGACATGCGCACACGGG